TTACAGAAAAAAATTTACCTAAGTCATGACGACCTGAGCAAAAAAAGACCAGGAGTTCTAACCTCCACCAGGGCCAAAATCTACAAAGCGATTTCCAAAAAATAACTCACATAACAAAAAAACGAGGACACGACTCTTCACTGGAATTGCAGAACGATACCCTGTTGAAAAATATTATAATGTGACACTTAAGACACCTAACATCGAAAATATCGGATGACCAAGGGTTTCAATTTAGTTAAGACAAGTGGCGTTTATCCATATCTATTTCATCTGTCATGAAGTCCCCACCATAAAGCAATATGGTGAACTAAAGCAATTATGAACGTAAAAATCACCATAAAAGCAATTCTTCTGTTCCTTGAGCAATATCCCCATAGATTGAATCTGCATAAAGTGGTAAACTTTCATAATGAAAGAGAATAAAAGTCAGAATAGCCAGTGGGAAATCAGAATAGCCAAAAACGCTAAGAAAATTAATAAAGATGCTGTCAGGTACACACACAGTAGGAGCCACGCTGAGAAATAAAAGTAGAAAAAGTATCGTCGCAACAGTAAAAAATGTCGCAAACGAATGAAAAGCTCTTTAAAAAAAAATGTGATAGGCTATTCTCAAGAAAGAAGCAATAGCGCATACTGACCTGTCCATGAGAATATGTATAACAGTAAAGCATTTGAAAAAACTAACGCTTTAACTACGTAAAAATCTTAATCAAAACAATACTCTTCGACAAGTGCCTTTTCTTGCGAAGACTCTGTGGCCAATTTGTTCAAAACAAAGATGAGGCTGGAATAAAAATTTGCGAAAGAAAAGAGAAATTTCAGCAAAAGTTAAAAAGTGAAAAATATGTAGGAGCTACAAAAAACGCAAATGTCAAATGTAAAAATTAGCATTTTCGATTTTCACATTCAAGTCTGAAAAAATTAAATTTCAGGCTAGCACTATCAAAACCCTGCCTCTAAAACCTCTCTAACTAAAAATTGAAAAATCTAAAGACCTCCAGCTAAATCTTTTGCAGATAAAAATGAAAATTTTTGGAATGCCTCATAAAAACATAGAGCTAAAAGCTATTTTGAAAAATTTCCCTTATCTTAACCTGTCCCCTATGCGGATTAACAGATATTACAGCTGTATTTTAAAATGAGAATAAAACCAGAGAATAATGTTTTGACTCCTTTTTCCAGTAAGATATAGGACTCTCAATTTTTGTATTCGCGGACTGATTTGCAATGAACAAAAACAAACGATGTGCCCCCGCAGACCGCTTGTAGATGCCGTTTAACTACTTATTCGTCACGCAGCAGTGTCACGAAACATTCTAATATTTTAAAGTGAACCTTTCAAATTTTGATTTAAAAAACTTTAAAAAATAAAGTTGCAGTAACTAAATATCTAATATTTCCTGTCTTCTTAATTAATACAAAATACGTACCAAGAAAAAAAATTCAAGACCTCTCTTAAAAAGTCCAAGATAAGTTTCGCATTACAATTTCAAATCAGGATTTGTTCACATAGGTAACGCTAAATGCTGTCATTTTAAATTGGTATAAAACAAAAAAAAACTGGAAAAAAGTCAGATATGAAACCTGAATCTTGAGGAAAATTCAAAATATGAAGAAATGAGTCTCAAGGAGTTATGAAAACCCGTACTTCTTTGGTGGGTTATAAATGAAGCGGAATCAAGTATCATCACTTCTACTGGTTTCTGAACAAAACAATTTCTAACAAGCTCAAAAAACTTAACAAATAAAAACCCGGTTACGTTTTGTAATCTCCAGAGATGTCAATGTCCTACTGACCTGCGCTTGTGTCCTGAGTAGTGCAGCTAGATGCGGGAGAAGCTGGTTCACATTTCACCACAGTATTCTGTTTGCGTGAAAACCTTAATAAAAGTCTGCCACGTGACGGGTCATCTACAGAATGAGACGAGAAATGAGTTGTTTCGTAAGCGTCAGAACAGCTGGGATGACCATCTTTATGCTGGAAGGTACATACATACATCTGTATTGTACAATAAGAAAAAATAGAATCTTCTGCAAAAATTCAACTAAATAACTCGCTCCCTAAATACAGAACATTTAAACTAAGATTATTCAGTCCTATTGAGACACACACAGCTAGCGCCAACTTTTCGACAGTTTCAGAAAGAATGCTAGAAATGTAAAGCTTACTTTCTGTCAAAAATGATAGATAAAATCAAGAAATATAAAAGCAAAGGTATTATCAATTCCCCTCACTTCATATAGTGTATAACGGGGAACTGCAAATTGATAATTCGATATTAGATGGTTTTCAAACCACATTGCAACAAGAAACTCCCTAATCCTTCCAAATATAGCCACAAATTAGCAAAGAAAGAAGATACCTTCACAATTTGTTCCCTCATGTGATTTTCTGAAACAATTTCTTGATCCTCATCCATATAACCATGTCCTGTTTTGTGTTTTTTCTTTTTCTTTTTCTTCTTTTTCTCTTTCTTCTTCGAATCATTCAAAGCCCACGCATCGTCAGTTTTCAAAGGCAAGGCAATCTTGATCTTGATTGGAGGTCTTATCTCTTGAACCTTTTTCTCCTAAAAAAATGAGACGCCATTACTTCTGAACACCCTAAACAGTTTCGTGTACTGCTAAAGTATTAAAACATACCACCGGTTTAACCGTTTCAGAAGACTGACGAAGGTTACATTTAATCCTCAAAGGTCCGGGGAACATTCCGTTTGCTTGCAATTTCTCATCGGTGTATAACTGTCCTGGCACTTTTTGCTCTTTAAAATTCATAAGACTTACTGAAGGAAAATGTAATTTTAACGCAAAAAGTAGCTAAACCAAAAAATCTAAAAAGTCCCTTCGCTAAAAACACTGGAAATAACAGATACCAGAATAATAGCGAGGAAAATGCCTTTAAAAACTGGGAACAGCATTAAATCAAGATTTAAAAACTTATTTCTGACCTGTTGTTACGGGTTCTCTTTCTTGCGGTTTTACTAAGACATCATCCAACAGCGTAACTGGGGCATCGAGAGAAGAATAATTTTGTCCTCCTAGTTTGACCTCCATTTCGTCCGCCACAATTACCGATACGGGCTAAAAAGAACGAGTGAGAAACGAAGATTACTTAAGGTCCTTTCACCTTCACCTCACCATAGAGGACCTCACCAAATTAAACACAAATGACGATAGAACTCAAGAGCCCGTCATTTTCTATGTTACATTTCGTCTGAGGTGTTCCAGTTAAGTCACGCTTGTCCAAAAAGGCTTATTCTCATAAACTTTTGTCTTTTCCGGAATGTGATTTAACCTGGGTATACTTCTCCATAAAACAGGGCGAACAAGTGCAAGTTAGGGGAAAATAATCGGTTTTTCAAAAACAGCTAAACTTTCCGCCTAACTTCAAGTTCTGAAACTCTAGTACAAGTCATAACTCTTTGCATTATACACAATTGTTCCTCACTGACTAAAGACCTGTTTGTGAAATTCCATAGATTCTGTATAACCATCTTTAAAGTACTGAACAAGAAGACACCATCAGTCGAGTAAATGGCTAGAAAGTCCAAAGCATTCAATAGCTAATAGATGTCTAACTTGCGTATCTTATTATTAAACAGGAATTCCTATACACGAAATTAAAGAAGTAGAACAAATGGAGACGCTCCAAAAACCGCTCCCGATCTTACACTCAGAAATTCAGCAAGGATTCGCAATAAAATTTAACAAAATTTAACAATAAAAACCCTGCATGCCATCAATAAAAAAAATGAGACACAAAAACTGTGAGCGCAAATAGAGAAAAAGATCATTCTGGAAAAAGAAATCTGACGCCTCAGAGTTACTTCCACAATTAAAAGTAATATAGAAATAAAACACCGGAACTCACCCACTGAATATTTTAGACACTATTTTGGCCGGACTCCTCTTGATAAGTTAAAAATAAAGACGCCTATTTTTCAAAATAAAAATGCAAACAAAAAACTTCGTCTTAATCTTCCAAAACACCACGAACCTTTTGGTGTGAACTTGTTGTTCGAATGCGCAACCGAATTTTTTCACTTGCCGACTTTGGGTCATTCTTTGCTGCACCCTCATCTTCCGCACAGCGCTCTCCTTTCCAATGTCTTTTCACTTTTTCCTTCAATGAATGACTTCCCGCCTGCTCAACATCGTTCTGGCTGGTCCTTGTTATACTTTGGTGAGTAACTGCCGTGTTTCCAAAAATAGAATGAACAACTTTGCCTTCTCTTACAGCGAGGGAACGAATGGAAGCTTCTGAAGGGATTTCAAAATTCTCGTTTTCCCCAATCAAGGTGTCGCTACGTACAAAATGAACGTTCTCACGTGAGCAACACTCTCTTGATGGCGACCTACTGCTGCAATCACTAGTTCTTGAAGGGGAACTTCTGGTCTTTTTAAAAGCATCGCCGTTGGCTAATGTTTTCTTAGGCGAATCAGAAGCAGGAAAGGAAGAGTGATGCTCGGAGTGGTCAACTAAAAGCTCAGCAGTTTTACCACCATCATGTGCCACAACTAAAACCTCCTCTTTGAAGAGATTCTCCTTCATCAAACCATGGTCAAAAACTACGGTCTCAGTCTCATTACTAAAACTGCAGTCCTTTACACTATCGGATCCTAACATTTCGCAAGCAACTTCTTTATCTGTTGGTTCCTCGTCAGTGAAAGATTCATAACTCTCCTCACTGCAAGAAGGAGATATATCTGTGCTACTCTCCTCGTCGGAAAGTTCAACCTCCCTCTCTGTTTCAGAATCGCTTAGACTTCCACGATCGCGGGCAAGAATTTCTGCTTCGGAAAAAGCATGATATTCAATAGGCATTTGCGGTTTCAACATTGACCGTTTCTCCATAACCGCTTTTTTTGCATCCAACTCTTCCTGCTTCATGTTCTTACAGATGGAAGATGTGAGTACAAACTGTTCTGAAATTTGAAGTGTTTGGACTGAGGGAAACATAAATTAAGCAACAATATTAAAAAGTAGAAAATTTATTTCAAAAAATCGCAAAAAAAAACAATAAAAACGAAAAATTTTCACCCCGATTTTCTGCAGCATACCGCCGCTCCTCATTTAACGTACGAGACTCGTGTTCCCCATCGAGAGATAGCAAAACCAGTTCATCCATCCGTTCAACAGTACTTTTCTAAAACACGGTGTAACTGAGACGGCGAATTCAACAATGAGATCTTGATAAATCGTAATAAATTTCTCTTCTAACTTACCATTGCTTCGTTAAATAAAATAGCCCGCAACCTTCTTTCAGCTCTTTCCTTCCTCTCGTTCAGATACACCATATGTCGCAAATAGTTGTGGTCGACTGAAAAAAAAAAGCAACAACTGAGAGACAGTTCTTCAGAAAGCCGAATAAGACTTCCAGTAGCACAAATGAAAAAATATTCATTGTAACATGGTCGCATAAGTGTTAACAGCAGTCACAAAAAACTAAAAATTTATGAGAAATTACACACTGCCATAAATAAAGAAAATAGCAATAAAAAAAATAACAAACATTTCTCTAGAACTTCATCGTTCAGAGCAGGCTCATGGTAGCCATGGAACGGAAATAACCGAGTGATAACATCAGAGAAATCTTCGAAAGGAGCCGAAATGTCGGTTGTTTTAATAGAATTTTGCAAAGATAAAAAATAGTTGGTCAATCTGAAAATAAACACCACTCAAAACAAGATAACACGCAAAGAAAAAACATCATTTCCGAAACATAATGCTCATAAAAAACCTCGATGCTCGTTCCTGACGTTTTTCCCCCACTGCTGCAGCTGCCTCAGCAGGTGTTTTAAGCTGAGGTGGCGGAAGCAATAACGACGACTGCACGACGTTGGATGTCTGAGAGGCCACAACTTGTCTTTGCGAAACACCCAATTGACTTAAGGTAGTAGTATTGTTCCCCTGTTCATAATTTTGAGAGGATGTCGTGCACGTCCCTTGCCTCATGGAATTCGTTGGCGGATAATAAGTTTGTTGTATAGGCACCTATAAATAAAGCACTTATTTCACGGGTAGCAAAGAAAAAAAAGGACGTAAATTATCTTACTTGCTGTTGAGCATGGTTCGAATTAGACACTGCAACATAAGCAGTACGACTTGCTGGTTGGTAAGACTGATACTGAACTTGCTGATACGACGTGAACTGCTTTGAACTAGAATGTTGTTGTGGTCGTTGCTGCTGCTGTTGCTGCAGCTGTTGCTGTTGCTGCGGCTGTTGTTGTTGTTGCTGAACAGTCTCGTATGCTGGTTGACGTTCATAACTTGTTGATGGTTGTACTTGGTGCTGCACTTGAGCATTACTATGTGTTTGAGAACGAGAATTAGCGCTGTAGTTATTCCGCTGTCGTGACGTATTGATTGTACGAGAAACAGGTTTCGGTTGACCACTGGCCGCCGATAATATGTCTTCATTCCTAATTGGAGAAGTTAAATATTAGTTGCAAAAAATTAATGAAAATACTACCTTCACGCGAGAAAATAGGTGCTCAAACAAAAGAACAATTTTGAAGGGAAAAAATAGAAGAAAAAATGGTGTAGCCGGCCTAGTTTGGATATAGGTGCGAAAATATAGAAATTAAATTAAAACTTACTTGTGTTGCTCAACAAGTGCAGCAAAAAATATTTGTGCTCGTTTGCTTTCTAAATCCTTAATATCTCTAGAGTAATCAACGTTCTGTAGTGCTTGCTAAAAATCAAAAAAGATAAAATGGCTTACATAAAAACATACAAAAGACAAAGACAAGTTTAAAAGAAATAAGTACAACACTACGTGTATCAGAACTAGAAGATGAAGCACTACCAAGTTTTGAAGGCGTGCAATTTCTTTGCTTAATTTCGACACTTGTTCCAGACTCTGTACACTCAAGGTAACGCTATCCAAGGAAGCACGGTTGGTTTCACCTGACGTGCCGTTAGACGCTGCTGCTAATCTATTTGCTTTCGTCAGGATAGAACCCAACGTTCCGTTCTGACCAGCATTCTGTATCAAGCAATATCTTTCATGTGCACCAATACGAAGAGATTACTCAGAAGAAATAAAAAATCAAGTTGGAAGATGCAAAAAATTACAAAAAAAAAAAGTGCCTTTTTACGTCCATTAGATCGCGGTTGACTAGATCTTTGTTTCGGTTTAGTTTGCGGATTAGGCACGCTTTGCGGAGCAATCGGTTGCTGCTAAATAGGACAAATACGCGTCGTAGAAAAAAATGATAATCTATGCAAAGAAAGACAAAAGCTGTTTATTTTTTAAAAATCTCTAAAACAAACTGAACTATCTTCTGTGGCAATATAAAATAATAGCAAATAACATTAAAAAGGAGTTAAGATTGAACCAATTGTTGCCGAGGAAGTGCTGGGGCTGATAAAAGCTGCTGCACTACAGGAAGGCCCTGTGATGATTGTACTGTGGAAAGCGCGACGGGCTTTGACGTTTGAATAATTTGATGATGTTGTTGAGGGGCATGCATTATATGGACACCATGCTGCTGCTGTTGCTTTTGTTGGTGTTGCTGTCGTTGCTGATGTTTTTGTTGTTTCTGTTGCTGTTGTTGTTGCTGCTGTTGCGGCTGAGACTGTTGTGGTTGTTGCTGAGAAGTCATTATTCCCATATTTAACTGCTGGTGTTGCACTTGTTGAGGAGACTGCCGAGTAAGTCCTCCTTGTGTACTCGCCAGATCATTTTGATTTCTTGAATAGTTAGGTAGAACTGCAATCACAGTGCCGGAATTCGTTTGCACATGTTGCAGTTGTGCTTGCACAAACCACTGCCCATTAACTGCTTGTATACACGTTTGCTGTTGCTGTTGTTGTTGCTGAGCAGGCTGTGGTTGCATAAGCGTAGCTAAAAACATTGTAGAATAAATGGATTTTTCAAGCAAACTACTGAAATTTCAAAACATGTATTCAATTACCATGTTGGTTTCCAGAAGTAGATGGCTGCATAACATGAAGATCACTTTGTTGCCTAGTAGAAAATGTGGTAGACGAAGACTGTAATGGAGCAGTAGGCAAGGTTGTCGCCGACTGCATATATGTGGTTGAGGTTGTTGGCTGTAGATAGTTAGATTGCGCCGACGAACTTGGTTGGCTAGGAAAGATACCTAAATCTTTCGCGAGATCATTTTCATAGTCAGCTAACGTTCGAGGTGCTGATGACGAATACTGATGACCCGAATCAGGTACGTGGGTACTAAGCGTCGTAAACGTCTGTTCTTGCTCTGCGGGCACAGGTGAAAGCTTCGGTGGAGCTTCCATCCCGTAAAGCTCACGTGTTGGAATTTGAGCTAGTGGTGAAGGGCATGTCCGCACCGGTACAGATAAACCTAGATTTACATCAAGAACACTCGACGACGGAGGACTTCCACCTTTGAGTGGATCATCTTCTAAACCAAAGTACCCCCACTCATCATCATAATGCCTAAAACGAAAGATCCATTTGACACTTAGACAAGCAAATAAACATAAATTGTAGCAAACCACATTCTTTCAAAAAGCGGCCCGACAGTAAATAACAAATAAAAAATTGATTGTAATAAATACTCTGAAAATCCAGAACCAATATCTACCGTCAATGAGAGGATGATGGTAAAAAAGTTTAGAGACTCATTTCTAATGGTCAGATAAGAGCTAAAAACTACACTTCAAAACCGTAAATTAAAAAAGAGTATGAAAGCAGATCAAAAAATTTCCCTGGAAATCTCTTGCAATTTTACTTATAAACAACTGTTCTACAATAAACAGTAAGCGTTTGTTAAATCCCCAATAATACTATTAAGTAAAAAAGCTGCAACAAAATAAACAGCTTCTTACTCAGTGCCCAAATCGTCGATACAGCGAATGCCGGTAGAAGACATCACTTCTCACGCTGCAATCACTGATATTCATGAAACCATTTAAAAATTCATCTTTTCTTTACCAAATCTGAAAACTTAAGTTCAGAATAGCTTTTAAAACTCTAGTAAAACAAGAATATAAGCGATTCAAGCAAATTTTAATACTAAATACTCCACGCCGCCAACCCAAATAAGAAGAAAAGCGCTAAAAATTGCATTAATAGCAATAACAAAAAAAACGTCTGGATTGGACTCTTTCAAAGTTCGATAAACAAATTTGAACACGGCATAATCAAATGTACAAGCAAAAACAATAATATTAAAGCAAATAATAGGGCTCTTCCGTCAAACAATTTCTGCAAACTTCATTTCCAAAGCTAAAGCACTTCATAACAGTGACATCACGAAAGTCATTCAAAACATAAAAAAATAATCATCTTGAAATCAGCACGAAAAAAATGCAGAAACAAAATAAGCCCATAGACTCAAAAGGAAAAAAGTGAAGAACGGTAAAAAAACTCATCAAAAAAAACTCCAGTATAAAAATCAATATCATTTACACCAAAAGCAACAAACCTTGCTTACATTATGAATCAATTATGAATCAAAATCTTAATAATACAATTAATCAAACTCCAAAAAAATTTTTTTTGATGAACAGTTTAGCCAAGCAATTCATAAAAAGTAGCTTTTAATGAGACTCTTGGACAGTGACAGAAAGATGCTAAAACCTAAAACCAAAGTATTTCTGCCTCAAGTAACTACTACACGTTAGCTGAAAGTATAGCATCATAACAGAACCTGAATAAGAAATTTCCTAATCAAGACTCAATAATACATGAGTTACTCCGAACTACGAAAAAATAAACATGAAAAAAAAACCGACAATGCAAATAAACGAAAGACACGCAAGGACGTCCCACTAGCTGAAAGAAGTTGTGCTAAGATTCCACGTATTCCCTTTGAATAGACCAAAGAGAATCAGGAATACACTGTCACTCTCGATCACATCTCACCAACAAATTATCATTTTCGAGTTTACAACGAAAGGGGCAACCAATATCTTGATAAATGCCTGATGAAGTCTCCACC